TCATTTACATTTTCCTCGCGAATATAAATTTTAAATAGAAATTAAAAGACAAGCAAGACTCACAAGTTATGTACACATATGTCTTATTTACTTTTACCCATTTTTAACATAAAAATATGAAATAAAGGACAGCATCATAATCTCTCAGAGAACTTGAAGTTTAGATAGAATGATTGTATTTCCGAACTTATGATCGCCTCTGCAATTTCATTGCGTTATGCAGGTGGAAAAATGTGAGCGATCAATCTCGCCTACTGGCGGCGAACAATGTTTCTCCGATAGTTGCAGCTGAAGAACAATATTAATCACGATTAAAATGTTGCTCGCGTGGAGAAAGAGATAGGGGAGAAGATACTACTCCAACTTCTATTTCTGAGTAGCGTTTTTCTCGGCAGTCGTAAATTCTTTACCCAGATCATTCGGCGGCAGGCCGTACAGATGCAACTGGCGTTCTAGATTTATCGAGAAAATGAAATAATGCTGTTGTAACATTATTGTATATAAAATTAAAAACGCACACGCAATAATATATATATATATTATTGCGTCAAGCACATCTGCGTGAAAGTTATAATCCAGGAATGAAAGTGAGAGCTATCGTATCGACATGATATTGTAATGTCAATCTCTGATATCGAGAGATCTTTAATTGAGAGGTGTTGATGATGTATAACGATTATTGGAGAATTCCTTGAGTGGCATAAAATCAAAATTGCACGTTGAGTAATATTTCGGTGTAACGTAATACCGTGTCGTAATCTCGCGCAAGCATCGACTTAAGAGAGCCCAGTCACGCAATATTCAAAATGATCGCATTCGCACACACAAATGCGCCTCGTAATGTTAATTAGCTTTATCGTGTGCTATGTCACGATCACTTCTGCGAAGAAATAAGGTACGAACGAATTGATGCGAAAGAGAGAGAAGCGCGAGCAATAATTAATTCGCTCGGATATCTTTAATCGCGAGTGGCCTCGCGAAGACTGTAACCTTGTAATCGATATATCGCATCTGCTGGAAGAAAGAGTATCACATCTCTGCTTAATTATTAGTAACGATAAGATATTCTATATTAGATTTACCTTTCCACGTGGCGAAAATTAAATGATTACGAATATAAATGACAGATTTATGCCTCCCGAATTAAAATTCCATACACGCACATGCGATATTGATTAAAAAATTATTTTCGCTGTCCCCTCTTCTTTATCACGGATATATTTTATAAAAAAATATTTTCTTACACGTATCACATCTCTGCTTAATTATTAGTAACGATAAGATATTCTATATTAGATTTACCTTTCCAAGTGGCGAAAATTAAATGATTACGAATATAAATGACAGATTTATGCCTCCCCAATTAAAATCCCATACACGCACATGCGATATTGATTAAAAAAATTATTTTATCGCTGTCCCCTCTTCTTTATCACGAATATATTTTATAAAAAAATATTTTCTTACACGTATCACATCTCTGCTTAATTATTAGTAACGATAAGATATTCTATATTAGATTTACCTTTCCAAGTGGCGAAAATTAAATGATTACGAATATAAATGACAGATTTATGCCTCCCCAATTAAAATCCCATACACGCACATGCGATATTGATTAAAAAAATTATTTTATCGCTGTCCCCTCTTCTTTATCACGAATATATTTTATAAAAAAATATTTTCTTACACGTATCACATCTCTGCTTAATTATTAGTAACGATAAGATATTCTATATTAGATTTACCTTTCCAAGTGGCGAAAATTAAATGATTACGAATATAAATGACAGATTTATGCCTCCCGAATTAAAATCCCATACACGCACATGCGATATTGATTAAAAAATTATTTTATCGCTTTCCCCTCTTCTTTATCACGGATATATTTTATAAAAAAATATTTTCTTACACATATTATATCCATATACTCGCGTTACATCGGATAATCTGTGATATCGATATAATTATTACGTTCACATATGTGCACGCGGGGACATTAAAGTTTACTTAACCGAGATTAACAATTAAACTACTGTTCGCAATAATTGATTAATCCGCGCTGAGCATTACTGATACGATGATTACGCCACGTCGTAACAAACGACAGTGTAGAGTCGATTCCCGGGGTAATTCAATAAGATGTAATCCATAACGGCAACACGCGGCACAGAAGGAAGGCAGTCACGCGATATGCAAGGTGATGTTGTTCCGGACATCCGACGCCGGATGATTAATCTCGTACGTTGCGCATACCGATCGCGCGTACTGTTGTATTTTCAATTTGGGCTTCATTAAACCCAATTGTCCTTCGCTCAGAATGCTCAGGTACGTAACGCGGTGGAATATGAGGGCACGGCGGCGCCCGTGGCACGCAAAGCAGTTGTGACGCTCGGAGCAACTGACATTTCTCCCTGAATTCTGGTGCGCCATAACGCCGGCACTTGAAATGCACTTGAAAACGGTCGCGCGTATTAATATCTCGATCGCACGCTGTACACTCGGCGAGATATTCGAACGAGCGGGAATATCCGTACCCCACCTATTCACCCACGCGCGTAAACCGCACGTAATCCGCAGTTGGACGCGCGCGTTTCTAATTAATTCCGTAACAAAGTGCGAGCCTGGCGCGATACTTGCCGCGAGAAAAAGTTTACCGCGTACGAGAAAATATGCTTAGCTCATTAAAATAGAACATTCGCGCGGCTGAGGGGATTTTTCAAGCAGCCTTGCGTATCCGTGAGTCATTATTTCTCGCCTTCTTACCTCGACTACCTTAAAAAGTATCGCCCCTGGAATATTACCATTCATTTCCGCTTCTTTTTCATTAAGATTTATAAGAATTTATTCCTACTGGTTTTACATTAGATGGCGAGACAAGAAAAAATATATGTATATACAAGATGTTTCTTAATAAGCGTGAAAAATTTTAGAACATGATTCTTTGTCGAAAATTAAGGGGAGTTTTTCATATAAACATATATTTATTAGTAGAAAATATCCACCTAATTTCATTTCTTTAACATGTTCCAAATTTGAGAAAAAAGTAAAAACCTAATTTTTACTCCCATTTCTAGAGGAGTGTATATTTCTACATTCCTCCACAGGGAGGGATGTAGAAATATACACTCCTCTAAAAATGGGAGTAAAAATTATTTTTATTATTTTTATTATTTTTATTTTTTTCTCAAATTTTGAACATGTTAAAGAAATGAAATTAGGTGGATATTTTCTACTATTAAAAAGGTTATTTATGAATATTTTTTTTTAGTTCGCCTTATTGTTATAAGAGGCTGAAACTAACAACCCCTATTCAATTTTTTATTAGAACTTTTTAATGAGTCGAAATACGATCATCTAAAAATATGCATTAAAAAGTTTGATTTATTTAAAATTTACTTTTATATTTCCTTTATTTTTTTCATAAAATTTTTTTTTCTTTTATTTTTTTCATAAAATTTTTTTTCATAAAATTAGTTTATATTAGTAGTAAATATTGAGAAAATTAGAACAAAAACAAAATTATAATATAAACCTAAAAAGCTAAAAAATAAAAACCTAATTTTATTCCCATTTTTGGAGGACCATAGGAAAAACCACCCTTATAATTTTCAAGACAAAGAATCGTCTCCTAAAATTTTTCGCACTTATTAAGAAACACACTCTCTCTCTCTATATATATATATTTTCTTTTTACGTGCAAAAGAATTTCAACTTCAAAAGATTTGTCGCGCGAAGATTACTCGTGTCCGTCGAGTTGTAGTCTTTTTCTACTTAAATTTCATCCATCCGCCTTGTTGACCAACAGAAGCCCGAGTATCTTGAAAGCGATATGTTTCTACGTAGAACGTCATTTGCGAAGCTTCGCATAACAGCTCGAGTGAGTCACATGCATTCGATATAAATTCTTGGAATGACCGACAGTGTCGGCGTCGACGGCGGCGGCGGCGACGACGGCGGCGGCGGCGGCGGCGGCGGCGGTGGCGGCCAGCTGACGCGTGCCGCACTCCGATCTTGTCAACAGGAAATAAAGTCGATTTCAACCTAAAGTGCGGGAGGATTGAAAGACGCGATGCGACGTGGCGATTCCAACCGGCCTTTGTATCCAGTGTCGGATGAATGTTGCATCCCTCCTGACGAGGCGTGCAAAAAGAGAGAAAGAGAGGAAAATCGAGCGTGCCGTTTTGAGAAGCCGACTTACAGTCGCGTGGCAGACGGCCTTAATGGCCGCGGCACAGAAATATTTTATGGTGTTCACTTTCAGGCTGTCGCCGGATTTAGGACGAAGGTCGCCGCGCTTCGAGCGAATTTTAGCGATTTCGCCATCCGCGCGTTGCCATGACGATCGATTCTGGACGATCGCGAGTCTCTGGAATACCTACGGGAATCTTGGCCCGGACTCTCGACCAGTCGTAGCCGTACATTCATATTTTGTTATTACGTCAGCAATGAGAAATGGGGCGTGAAATTTTCATACAGCATACGTGGGGATAAATCCGTTGCTCGCTGCTGATAGAATGGGCTCGTAAAACCTGCCGGAAGCATTCATATAAACGATACCGAGAAGGAAAAGCAGCACGATATATTCCTTACAATAGTGTGTCATCATGACTATCTGAAAGTATACACAAGCATGTAGGCGGAATGGCAGTTTGCGTTAATTTGCGACTTTATACATGAGCGATCAGAGAGTAAATATAAGTGTTAGATCGTCCCCGGATTTATTGTTAACGAGCGTTTATCTTATATTATAGGCTTACGGTGAATCCGGTTAAATTTAGATGTTCCGAGAATACGTCGTAGCTACGTATCTTAATGAGCTATTGAAGCCTCGCTAGATTTAACAAAGCGTATGCGACCGTCACTATTATTAGAACCGAAATATTTCGTATTCACCCTTTCGAAATCTCATCATATTTCGGAAAAACACGAATCCGTCGAAAATGACGAGGAGTACGATCGGGCCTTCTAAACTGATCGTCCTCTACTCGCTGTTGCAGATCGAAGCTTTTTAGTGGCGAATGCGCAACAGGGACTATGCCACATTATCTACTGCTCGGACGGTTTCTGCCGGCTGACGGGCTTCTCAAGGGCCGAGGTGATGCAGCGTCCGGCGGTCTGCGACTTCCTCCATGGACCAATGACGTCGCCGCATGCGGTCGCGGCCCTACGAGACGCCCTCGTCGCTGGCGTCGAAAAACACTTCGAGATCCTCTACTACAGAAAGGATGGTGAGTACTGTTTGTCAATTGATAATTTAACTAGCGCACTGAGAAAATCTGATAGAAGGCATCTTGATTAAACCAAGAACTTCCAGTTATCATAATAGACTTTAATTTTTTGTAACTAGAACGTTTAATAGACTTTAAGGATTTTAACTATTAAGGATTCGGTTAATATTTTCTAGTTGAATCTATAAAACTTTTTATTCCATTAACTAAACATGGACACAGTGATGCCATTTTTTTTTTGTAAATTTAGTATTTCAAGAAAATTTGACAGGAAGAAATTAATCATCTGGTAATTCTCAAAGGAATTCTGATTCGTCCTTTTTGCTACAGACATGAATCTACCAGATTTCTAATGAATGCAACCAGATTTTTTTTCTCAGTGCGGCAGTCAAAAATGATCTGTTCGCATCGCGTATAAAGTACGTGAAGTATCGAGCTGTGGGAATAACGAGGCATCTAGATATGCGATCTATTTGAATGTTGAATATGATAAAGAATGCAGTCTATTATACGGACACGTAATATAAATAAAAATACTTGGAGGGTTTCTTTCTCTCCAATTGTTGGTCTATGACAGTTTAAATATACGCTTGTCATGCATAACATATCGTGACACGGAACGGTATTGTCCTTGCACGTGTCCTGCATGTAAAAAAGAAGGTGCGAAGAAGCGAACATACTTCAATCTAAAGATATCTTTAAAGATCTTTTCCGCGAGCCCGAGAATCCGAATATTCTTAATTCGTCGTCGCTTGAAAGACACTGGTTTAATGACAACATTTTTCGCGTCTACCGAATAGTGTCACGGAAACTAGTGTCTTGTACGTTTCCGTCGTACTAGGCGAGATAAGCGCAAAGTGTCGCGCTGACTTTACGGTTATTGCCAGCGGAAATAAATCAATATAACGCGTTGTCGCACGTAAAGATTTATTGGCCTCTCGTAGGAAAGTCGCAAACGTAGTAGGCATCTTTCACCCCGTCACCCTGAATCTCTTTCTTCTAAGATGAGTGTTATTATACAAAGGCATTTAATATTAAATTAAATTACCGAGTTCGATGAAAAAATGTAGTCTTTCCTCCACACATGGTTTTTACGTGTTTGTTATTTTTCATTTTAACAGGCATCCGTTAATGCTACATTCCATACTAATTTTCTTTACGGTTATGCGTTAAATCTGTGTATTTATCCGGGAACTTCTTCCCTCGGAGCAAACCAGCTACGCGGTTTTTTTTTTCATACGTAAGACGGATGTAGGAAGATTCTCGTTATTTGGAGCAAGAAGATTGAATTTGTTCGCAGGCCACTGGTTACTTCGAACTCGATTTTGCCGTAGCGTCTGACCTTAGCCGCGGTGAAATCAATAGTCACCACTGTATAATTTATCATAGTCATAGTGCAGAACCTCCCACTTCTCAGGTGCCGTCATGTAGATTCATATAGCTGGTTTTAACTTTCCGGATTTTTCGAGCGATACTTTTATGAGAAAGAAAATAATCAACTTTTATTCCATAAACAAAACCAACGTCGCGGCAGCTTTTTATTTTGAGGAACGTTATAGGAAGACACGTGTACCAGCGTAATAACGTAGCAATCGCATCGTCCCCTTTCCCTCCCTCACCTACATATGTAGAAGAAGTATATAATTACCTGTCGGTGATCAGTTAACAAAGCACGTAATTGTTACTGTAATTCGAGTTAACATGTGCTGTGACAGCGCAATTAACACAAACGCGTTCCCATCCTGTTCCCATCTTCTCATCGTGTTTCAGCATCGCGCTGACGTTGCAGAATGAAAAGATCGCCTACTTTCCCGCTTTTCTCTCGGGCGCAAGACGGACGGGCACTTTGCTCCGCTGCGAAACGCGTTAATTAAGAGGCTTAATTAAATCTCGCACATAGAGAACGATGAGGAGTGTCGATGGAACGAGACGCGCGCGAGAGGAACAGCCTGCCTGCACTTGACACCTCCCAAGGCGCAACATCGCGAATGTTTGCGGAGGAGATTCATAGAATATGTAGTTACGTGCCACGATGTTTCCATCCTTTGTTGAAATAACAAACTCTCGCTCTTCTCAGAGCGCCGCGTATCGTATGTAACGTTGACGGCCACTTCGCAGGCCGAGGGAAAACACATGATAGTTTCTGCGAAAACGCTGGAAAAATAGGACGCTTTGCCGGAATACGAGCAATTTTCCAATCGCAAATCATTCGAGTCTACGGAAACTCGCACATTTTTATCCCGCGTTATCTATCTTCAGTCATTTCCGAAGTATAATAATACAATTAAAATGGATTATTTCTCTCTTTATGCTTCCCTCCGGTGAAACGAATAAATAAAGCAACTGCGTAACCGTAGGATTACGGCTGTCGAATTGTTTATTGCATCGACCGTTTCGCATTTGGCTCGAGGGAATCGATTTATGAAACATGCAAAACGCGCATCTTCATGAGAGTGAACGCAACGCGAGCTTTATTAACGTGCGGCCTTGCACGTGGGACTCTTATACCTATCTACCTATCTACGTTGGTACAGTTACCGGCATAGAAAATTAATCAATGGACTGTCGAGTTTCGAACTACGAATTGCGCTATGCATTAGATACGACTGCAGATGGCTAATTACGCGAAACTTTTAACGACTGAATTATAGCGTCAATATCGATATAAAGTTTAAAATTATAAATAGAATAAACATTTGGAATAATTTCAAGGGAAAAACGAAAAAGATTTTAAGAGGTAAACAATTTAAAACATTAAAATCAATTAATTAAAATATTTAAATGTTAAAACAAAAAAAGTCTCATTGAATGTTGCATGCGAATAAAAGTTATAATTATTAAGAGTAGGAACAATAAATTCATAAAAAATGCTTAATATCACGATGAAATATACAATTTCATTCTTTTTCATTAATTGTAAATGGTGATAAATAATAAAATCGCCAAGAGATAAATTGCGACTGTAACTAATCCGTGATGAAAGTATAATTGGTCATTATCGACCGGCTCGCTTTTACGAATATAACGTGGAAAAAATTTTTATCTATATTAAAAGAACGATTATTAATAGTCTCGGGCTGCTAAAATTGCAGATAGATAAGAGCGTATATCAATTATCCTGTCATAGACATGTTTGTTAACACTAACTCTCTCGCATTTAATGGAGCGAACTTATCAAGGGTAAAGAGACATCTTTGACAAATCGATTTCATTTCAACCTCAGGATAACGATTGTTAAATTAACATGTATTTTTTAAAAATCATATCTATTAATTAATTTAACACATGACAGAATGTTTGATATCATTTCTATAAGTTTTCAATCTTTTATAATTCGAAAACTAATAATATCTCGATATTTTTCTTCAGGAATAATTGACCTCAAATTGACTAAAGAATTTTTTGCGCTACAATCTGGTCCGTTTTTTCGGAAAAAAATTTTTAAAGATTTTTTTCGGAAAGAATTTTTAAAGAACAATTTCAATCAAATTCCGCACATTTGAAGTTCGATCTTTCATAAATCCATTCAGGCTAAAAGAGTGGGATCAACCACTCGGTGTAATTATGTCACCATGAGATCATCCACCGATCTCTCCATCTCCACTATTGCTCTCTCCCTCTCTCTCTTCATCTCTTTCTCTCTCGCTCGATTTCTCTCGTTCACCTCTCCTCTTGTATGCGAGGGCCATTTCGCGCGAACTCCTCCTTGAGAAAAGCTCTCCCACATAGTTACGCAACATGGCTCGCGGCCGGCGTGTTTTGAGGCGTCCGAGAATAGCTCCGTGCTCGTATTCCAACCCCTCCTCTCGTTCTTAAAACACCTGCCCTCCCCGCCCTCTTATACCCTCTTTTCGCGTGTGCTTCCCTCTCCCGCTCCCAACGACGTTGCCGTTTAGTCAATGACATCACGGAACGGCGCGCCAACTCCCACCCGCCTTTGGTCCATCGGTGGCGTTTACCATGTGTGACGTCACAACTACCTACCTTTCCCCTCCATCTCCCTTCTCCTTCCATTCTACGCCATCGGCGGCTACGATGTAGCTGTAAGCTCGGCACGAGCCGCAAAACTCTCCGTGGCGTCACAGGACAACGACCCGGTGACTGGCGTTTGCACCATGGCCGGTCGATTGGCTCCTGTCGGGCCGTGGCTGCAAACCCGCGGCACGATTTCGAAAGCTTCGCCGGGGAAAACGGCCGGCCGGCACGGCACCGCCTAAGATGCGAGCTTGCAGTCTCCGCAGCGGCAGCGAGCCAAGCTTTTGCTCATGCTTGGACGCTTTCGATCGCGCGATTCGTTTCGAGTGAGATTCGTTTTCGGCAGATTGATCGAGCTTGCGGTTCTCGAGGTGCGTTGAGTAGATCGCGAAATTAGATCGCGTTAAATAGTGGCGAACCGTATCGAATGAAAAATTGTGAAGGGACCGAAAGGGAATAAAATGAATTTCATTACTACTTAAAAGGCAGGGTTGATTAAATTGTTGACAAATAACTGCTCCGGTTGTGATCATGTGGTGCAAATATATAATTAACGAAATGACGCTATTTTTGTTTTGTTGATACAGTTTGCAATTCTCGATGCGTTGAGAAACATGCGCGTGATAATATTTTAATGTACTGTATCATGAACTATTAAAAATAATATTATGAAACTTTTTTTTCCTTTTTTTTATTTAATTATTATAATTAGCCTAAAAAATTTAAAAAGAGCTATAATTTTAACTGTTCCTTCAGTTTTTCTGCGAAAGTTTGCGCGTATGCAATTGAGTGGGTAAAGATTTCAGAAAAACACTTTTCGTGCTTCAAATTCGTCTTGTCGCGAATTATTCCGGAAAAATCGCGTTTTACTCTTTGAAAGGTGTCGATATATTGATCACGCGAATGTGCAATTTCGCGGGCGTTTCGTGTTATCTAACCCGTTTAACGAATAAACTCCGCGAACAGCGTTTCCGATATCGGCTCCGCCATTGTGTCGGGATAAAACTCGCGCTTACTCCGGAAAA